CCCCCCCCCCTTCCCCCTCCCAACCCTAACCAAACCAAAACGAACCTAAATCCCCTCCCCCTCCCAACCCTAACCAATCCAAAATGAACCTGACTCCCCTCCCTTCCCTTCCCGACAACCACCACCTCTTTCCCCACCTCAACCTGTGTATGGCACGTTTTGTGAATATATATTGCTGTTTTGTATCAGTACGTGCGTTACCATCCGCCATGTACAGGGTTATATATAATTAGCTGACGCTGTACCGTTCCCTTAGTACAAAATCCAAATATTTACATTTCTAAAAGTATACTGGTATTAAGAACAATATAACAACACTCAGCGATAAGTATATACATGTACAGATATCTGAACAACTATTATCTCAATTTACAAGTTAAGATCTACAATGTATAAAAGAATAAAGAATAAGTGAGATCAACACCTAGGAATAGACTATGAAACGTCGGAAATCTAATGGAGTCACACATTTAGGACCACCTAATCCCTTAAAGCCGAAATTTGCAGTAATTATTATTTTATTTTTGAAGAAATTATTTATTTAACAACCATTATGAAACAAGTTATTTTTGTTAGCTTATTTTAACTATATTTTTATCGGCCTGGATGTATGCAAGCAGGGGACTTTTAATAAACATCGCAAACACACACTTTTTCAAAAAATTGTTTTACACATTCATTTAAAACGAAACACAATTTTATAAAATGTAAGAAATTAAAGTCAGGTCATCACTTTCCGTACTCTAAAATCACAGAGAAATGCTTTTGAAATTCTTTTGAAGTAATTTGTTGTTGATTACAGTCACTTGCTATCAATGATAATGTATTACATTACCATAACAACAACGTAAGCTTAAAAAAAGCTACCGGCTGAAACACGTGCTAGCACCACCGTACGTACTGTTGATATCGAGATAATAATTACTGTACCGGATATGTTTCTCTTTAACACTGATTAGGAATCAATTTATTTATTTTATTCATATTACATGATATTAATGATATAATAATAAATATTTAATTAACGTGTCACACATTTAAATACATGCATGTACCATCAAATACTTTTTACAGTGTTTAAAAACTATGCATAAGAAATGTCCGGCCAGTGTTGACCTATGAGACACCATTATCACAATATTACGTATTACAATGTATATATCACAATTATATACTACATAACATTTAAACTATTACATTTTATAAAACAATACCTGAAACCAATAATAACTGAACATGAGCATACTGTACGCATACGTGTATATTTCCGGACTTCAGACGGGTGATTCGTGTATTCCGGTTTAAGATTTAGACATACAAAGGTCGAATTCCAAGGGTCAAATGATGATAAGCGTGACGAGGAAGGAAGCTGTACTGGTCGCTTAAACAAAGACTAAAACGTAAGTACACAGATAAAGAAGAACTCATGGTACATCTGTACTAAGCATATGTAAAAGCTAAATAACTTTATTTCTTTGTATGTCTTTATTTATTTCAGGAAGTATTATAAATAGAGTTGTATGACATCATAATGATAGATATATGTGAAACGAAAGTACATCATAACGAATTTATTTCCGCTCGAAAAATTAATAATTTGCTGAAATATCAATTTTTTCATCCGTTTGGATGATATCTGATATTCCTCAACAAGATATATACAATGTACATCTCTATATTCGTGATGACTTTACCAGTTATGATACCCTACGTGACAAACGTGTTACGGGATATTAAAATGGCGTCCAACGTTCCGTCCCTTCGACTGCCGCCCGTGAGGCTGGTTAGGAATACTTGTTTAGTCATATCTGGGAAACTATGCTACATAGATTATACCTGCATCACTGATGCAGCAAGTGATTTTACCTTAAGTGCATGTTCCGCGCACTGAATTTGACCTACATTATATACGCTTCATGGACTTGCTTTGGAATGCTGAATGGGGTTAAGGATAATGGTTTGGCTCATGTATGAGTAATTAAAAGTGCTACATGGATTGTAGTTCTACCCATACATTTAAAGCTCCAATGGTTTGGTTAGGATGAATTAGTGTAGCATTAGTAGCATTTATATTCTGGGTAACTATTTAAAAGTGCTACATGGATTATACTGATTACTGAAATAATGTTACGGATGTGTTTTACACATGAGGGACTCGACTGAAAGTAGTTTGCGCACTCATGATCACTCACTCGCCATTCACCAAGACGGCCGGGGTTCAATTCTCCGATCGGACAACCAAAAGGTATTGGGTCACCTGCCCCACCTTCGGTTTCCGCACGCTTCCAGGGGCAACAAGAGCAGTTAAAATAGGTTGGGAAAAGTGGTTTTATATTGTTGGAAAATAAAGAAACTATGTATTTATAAATCAATATACACGTAATTATTATTAACTGAATGTGAATGCTATAAGTTATAGGTTTACCTATCGTGCCTGTATTTGTAGGGGCTCAAACTTCAAAGGGAAATAGTGCTGATTAATAGAATCATCCCCTACCTTAAGGGTGTGACAGAGAAATCTCCAACCCTCGGGGTGATGTTTTTTGGTTGTCTAACCCGAGGCTCTGCCGAGGGTAAGACAACCAAAAAAATCACCCCGAGGGTTGGAGGTTTCTCTTTTACACCCTCAAGGTATGCGTAGGGGATGATTATTTTTCTCCCATCCTATTATTTCAGTCAGAGCTCCACCGACAGTAGTCTTCCATGTTTGTAAACAAAAACACATGTGGGGTATGCATATCGTCATTCACTTTTGATAACCTCACAATTGAACACGTGCTAATCGGCACGAGGCTATCTCCCCCTAGGGGGTGACAAGCTTATCTTTCCCGGCTAAAAAGGGAGACACGCCTGTGAAGGGTGTGATAATATATGGTCCTTTTCCTACTCATTTAAACATTATAAATAACATGATTAGACTGGTATAAAGTTAAGAGCCATCTTTCCTGTATCACTGTAATACCTTCTCCGCTGATGGTTACATGCAAGATGAGATCGAGGTTATTAAGAATCGATGACACATGGTTCAGGCTCTTACAATTGTCTCCGTCTCGGTCAAACTGATTTTCAAAAAACGGTGTATGTGTGGTGTTTGGGTTCTCTATCAGAAGACGACGAGTACCAAATGCCTTGATTTCAGTGGGTTATTTATTTCCCTGTAACAATATTTAACACACATGAGACAATATACAGAAACGAACTCGCCTAACAATACATTTATCAAATGGACAATTTACATTGAAACGCACGATACTTTTTAAAAGCTAAAGTGATAAAACAATTATTTAAAGAAGTAGCCTAGAAAACTACACATGAATATGGTTCACATAACACTGGATATAACATTTAGTAACCTACACCGAAGTAAAATATCGGTGTTAAATCAGGAAAGTATACGTATTCACCTAGCCAAATAACCACACTCATAGTATATTTGAGAAATTTACGAAAAATTATAGCAATTCCAAATAAGTTTATTATCTATTAAGTTTAGCAATAGCTTAGTTGACTTATAGCTTACTCTGTATGTGGTACCCCCCGGGGATCCACTAGTATAATCATGTTGAAAAGTTCTGTACGTATATCTCTCTATATTCTGTAAGGTAAAGTGGTACTAAATGCCATACAAAGAGCTAAAGAGAAAGGCCCTGTCAGTGTTAATTTAGAAAGAGCTAACACCAAAGATACTGATATCATACCATTTGTTACTACTTACAATCCAAATAATTGTAATATGTTTCCTGTCGTTAAACATTTTGTAAATTTTATGAAAAACAGTAAGAACATGAAGTGTATTTTAAAACAGTGAGAACATGAAGTGTATTTTTGATAAGAAGAAGATTATAAACTGTAAAAGACAACCTAAAAACTTGAAACGTTTACTATGTACATCCAAATTTGACTTGAATACCACAAATGTTGTCACTGGTGTAAAATAATGTAAGAAACCAAGGTGTGGTACATTATGTACATGTAAGATTATTATTGAATGTAAAGACTACGTTTTTGCAAATGGTTCCAAAATAGAAATTAGATCAGACATTAACTGTAATTCTAAGAATGTTATTTACTCTTTAATATGTACACAATGTGGTGAATTTTATATCGGACAGACCGGATGTGAATTGAGAATACGAATGAATGTACATAGATAACAAATGAAGGACAATGAACTAAGATTTTTAAAAGGTAGCAAATATCAGCATCAATGTTTTAAAGATGATTTTTATGTGTTACCTATTAACAAACTGAATAGCGACGATGTAGTTGCAAAAGAAATTAAAGAAAATATGTTTATAAAAGTCCTCAAACCCAGCTTGAATGCACAATGATTTTTGCAATGTATTGTATGTAGATGTTTTCTTTGTCTTGGTATTGTTTGTGACATCACTATGCTTGTTTATTTATGACGTCACTAAAATTGTTGACTATACAAATATTGATGACGTCATGCAACCAACGTTGATAAAGGCTTGAAGAAGCCCTAGAAGGCAGAAAGGCCCAGCGGACGATCTGAAAAATTTATGTTTTTAATCTGTAAGGTATATTTATATGGGGATGTTGCCTCTACGAGGAGCAGATAGGAAGTGAATAGAAAAGAAAGGATAGAGAAGCAAGCGAAGAAAACATTAACGCGGGAAACATCATGCAATGCGACAGGTGTCAGAGGTCAGTTTGTCATTGGTCAAACAGGTATACAATAACATACACAATTACGTCACACTCACATACATTCCAATCAAAACGAAAGTAACACACGAGACTAGCCGACTGCGGATGCGGAGCGCCGATTACTGATTAAATTCGACGAAACAATATTATACAAAGTAATACTGATTAGACTCAATATATTTTAACTTAATCTTAGGAATATAAAGAGTTAAAATCAATTGACAAATGTAACGAGGTGCCACATATGTATGTAGTTAATATTTTAAAATCATCTCTTTCTGTTCAAGGTAATATCGTATCAGAGACGCCCCAGTAAGTATGGCGGAAGGTGGACCACGTCATCAACCGTCGTCGATAGAAAGAGAAAGACGCCAGTCCCTGGACTCCCAGCTACTGGAATGTCCCATCTGTCTGGAGCAGCTGAGACATCCCAAGTCCCTGCCCTGTCTGCATTTGTTCTGCCAGGAATGCCTGGGAAGTTACATCACAAAAGAATTTTCAGGTAAGACGGTGTCAGCGTCTTTTTTCTCCTGTCCTGTTTGCCGGAAGGTCACTGAGCCTGTGAACCAATCAGAAGCTAAGGAAACCTGGGCCGAACAGTTCCCAACCAATCATTTTGCTGTAGAAATGATCAAACTGTCGCAGAAGACAAGTGAGCCAACAGCATGCAGACCTTGCGCAAAGAAAGGAAAAATGAATGTGCCAGTGAAATTCTGGTGCGAACAGTACAAAACTTTCTTCTGTGCAGCTTGCAAAGTAGACCACCATGACATGTTTCATGAAGAATGCGAACCGAGGGACATCGCGGACGTAAACATGTCAGCCAAAATGCGTCGAGAGGTCTCGCCTAACGATTGTGGGAAACATGATGAGAAAATAGAGTATTACTGCGAGGACCACCAGCTCCTTGGATGTAGCAAATGCATCATCGTCGACCACAGGAAGTGTGAAGTGGTAATGTCGATAGAAGAGTCGCGGGACAAACTCAGAAACAGCTCCAAGATTGATGATCTAATGGACCTGCTTCATAAATGCACAGAAGCCATGGAGACGCTGATTAAAGATATTGGCGAACAACTTCAGTCCATTTCCTATGATCAAGACACTGCACTGAAAAGTTTAACAGATCTACGCCAAAACATTGATCGGATGTTCGATACGCTACAGAAAGAGCTGACGGATAAACTGATAACACACTTTAAGGACGAAAAGGCAAATCTGGAATTATCGAGACAGCAATGTGAACGGCTGATGTTCGCTATGCAGAACACATTGACGTCATCCGAAGAAGCAACAATGACAGACAACACTGTAGGGACGATTTGTCTGTTTCAGAGAGGGCGAGCTGAGGTCGCATCCTGTAAGGGACTGATACAGGAACTGGAGAAATCGTCAGTATCCACCACCCTGAGACATGAGTATGACACGCAAACCTTCGACACAAACACCGATCTGACCATGGGGAAGATAGTTGTTGATAAACAACAGAGAAATCTGCCTACAACTACCTTGAGTGTGCCATTGTCTGAAAGACAACTGAGGATTATGGGAAAGTTCAATATCAAACTTCCTTCTGATAAATCAGACAGCTTTTCCTGTGGGATTGTATACCTACATGGTGGTTTCATTGTCTTAGGGGACTGGGCGAACAAAAATATCAAGCAATTTACAGAAAACGGAGACTTCCTATGTAACATCAGTATGGATGGGACGCCTGTAGATCTATGTCAAGTTGACGACAACACAGTAGCAGTGATGCTGCGGGAGCACACCATATGTATAGTCAGTGTGGAGGACTTAAAGTTGACCCTTACATCAACAATTAAGTTGCCAATGACGACTAAAAGATGCTATGGTATAACATACCGGAATAACAGGTTTGTCGTCGGCACAGATACATCACTTTATAGCGTATCAAGAAAAGATGGGATAACATCACAACTTCACACATTAAAAACAATGTGCTTGCACCTCGCTAGCGATCATCATAGTGGACACGTCTTTGCCAGTCTCCATACCAAAAATCCTAACGAATCTGCCGTGACTAGACTTTCAGACGGCTCGAGCACGGACGTAATGAAACCAGGGATTTTGAAGCATGCAACAGGAATAGACGTGGACAGGGAAAACAACGTGTACGTTTGTGGCTTTGATTCTCACAACGTCATACAGATGTCCGGGGACGGGACAAACGTCAGGGAACTACTGACGTCATCAGATGGAATACAGCAGCCGAGGGCGATTTCTGTATGTGCTGACAGAGTAGTGATCACAAACGGATCGCTGGATCAGAACACTGTACATGTGTTCCAGCTTGTTTAAGTCATACCAACATACCCCTCTACATGAAGTTGCGGTTTAGGTCGTACTGAAATTGAAAGTACTTTTACACTTAGTGACAAATATAGAAAACACGTTGTGAAGAAATTGTAAGTTGACTAGACAACAATTCCATGCCGCCAACACATCAAAGAAAATCGGAACGTGCACGTTAGGGGGTTACTCTTTAAAAGAACAACAGTAACCGGTCAGAAACAAAAACAACAGTAAGACATTATGATATACTAGTCTATAAGCAAGGCGAATGGGAATTTGTGGAAGGGTTACTGTTTCTACCTGTTCCTGCCATCGTGATGGCACCTGTCAAGTCAAGAGTCGCTCTAACAATATAGGCTGCGTTAGATGTTTACATTTAATAATTGCAGACACCGAGACCTTCAGTTAAAACCAGCTTATGGCGACGATCGTACAGCTTCTCACAGTAGATTGATGGGCCCGGGTTCCTCCTCTACTGTGAGGGTAAGACAGAAAAATCTTAATCCAGGGGCCAATCTTCGGGATTGTTTCACCTGAGGGTCATACATTCAAGAATGTAATCCCAAAGGTTGAGTTTTATCTGGCATGACCTCACTTAAGTAGGTGATCAGTTTCCGTCTGTCCTTTCAATGTTATGATTGAAACCAAACAACCAACCAACACAATGGGTAGACTTTTAGACGACCGGATTGCAGGAACAAGAACGTAAAAGGACCATCGGTTCCTAACAAAATTGATACCAACAACCAACTACGGTCTAGATCACTGGGTGGTTTAGTGTAGTGTTTCACTATAAGGGTTTTGTTTGCATACCAATCATGGTCTACATCACTGGGTGGTTAAGTGTCGTGTCTCACTATAAGGGCTTGTATGTATACAATGTATGGTCTACATCACTGGGTGGTTAAGTGTCGTGTCTCACTATAACGGCTTGTATGTATACAATGTATGGTCTACATCACTGGGTGGTTAAGTGGCGTGCCTCACTATAAGGGCTTGTATGTATACAATGTATGGTCTAGATCACTGGGTGGTTTAGTGTCCTGTGTCACGATAAGGGCTTGTATGTATACAATGTATGGTCTACATCACTGGGTGGTTAAGTGTCGTGTCTCACTATAAGGGCTTGTATGTATACAATGTATGGTCTAGATCACTGGATGGTTTAGTGTCGTGCCTCACTATAAGGGCTTGTATGTATACAATGTATGGTCTACATCACTGGGTGGTTTAGTGTCGTGTGTCACGATAAGGACTTGTCTACATACAAGGCATGGTCTACATCACTGGATGATTTAGTGTCGTGTCTCACTATAAGGACTTGTCTACATACAAGGTATGGTCTAGATCACTGGGTGGTTTAGTGTCGTGTCTCACTATAAAGGTTTGTCTGCATAACAACTGCGGTCTACATCACTCGTTGGTTATTCTGTAGTCCAGATACTGTTTACACTACCGGGTTGTAAGTGTACCAGATGTTCATGGCATAACCAGTCGTGTTTTACTACAAGGGTCTGTCTGCGTATTAGGTACATTTTACACCACTAGGTGGTTTAGTGTTAGACTATGGTTAGTGATATCCGGTGGATGAGTTTTACCCTATGGTCTACTGTAACCCATTGTTTGAGTGTTACCTTGTGGTTGTTTTGTGTTATCATGTGATTTAGTGTTACCTGTGGTTTAGTCTTACTCTGTGGTGGAGTGCCATCCTGTGGTTTAACGTTACCTGTGGGTTAGTGTTACTCTGTAGTTTAGTGTAACCCTTTGGTTTAATGTTACCCTGTGGTGGAGTGTTACCCCTTGAATGAATATTAGCCTATGGTTTAGTGTTACCCTGTGTTTTATTGTTATCATGTGGTTCAATGTTGTTACTCCGTGATTTAGTGTAACCCCGTGGAATAGTATTACCCTGTCGTTAAGTGTTATCGTGTGGTTTAGTGTAACCTCGTGTTTTTAAGTGTTACCCTGTTCTTTAGAATTAGTTTGTAATTCTATGATTAAATGTTACCCTGTGGTGTTGTGGTACCCTTTGGTTTAGTGCTATCATGTTGTTAAATGTTACTCTGGTTCAATGTTTCCCTATGGTTTAGTGTTACTTTGCACCAATTATTAGGTATTGATAGTTTTGTGACCAGTTGGAGCCTAAATATAGATGGAGCTACAATTGAGATATGCTTGAGTATGCAAATAGAATGTCAATTTAGCCAAACGCTTTATCCCTGTATTTCTTTCTCATATCCCTATCTAGTTCTATATACATGATGTCACTAACCATCCTATAACCAGTTACGCCGTAGCCCGTTTTTACTTTGATGTTATAAGTGACTGGAATATAGTGTGTGTTTTTAATATTAGAAACGGCTGATATCCTTTGATGCTATGAGTTGAGCGACTGAGTATAAGATCAGTGAGTGGTTAAATAAAATAAGTAACAAATATACTTTGATGTAATAAAACAAGTGACTAGTATACTTTCACATCATAAAATAAGTGACTAACATTCTTTGATATCATACAATAAGTGACTAGTATACTTCGATGTAATAAGATAAGTGACTTACATACTTTGATGAGATAAAATAGCTGACTGACAAACGTTGATGTAATAAAATAAGTGACTTGTATTCTTTCATGTAATAAAATAAGTGGCTTGAGATAAGTTGATGTTTTAAAAAAATGTACTTATATACTTTGATGTAATAAGATAAGTGACTAATATACTTGACTGCTTTAAAATATTAACTGAACATCTTGTTTATACGGCACTTACCACCACACGGCTGGTTTAATGGCTAACCTATGTATCATGGTGGTGAATCACAATAAGCAGACCGTGTTTGTTTGTTTGTTTTCTATTGTTTAACGACCACTCGACACTTTGAATCAATAAAAGCCAAACAACGATGAAAAAAATAAGCATTGACAAAAAAATGAATACATGTACATAAAAACCAGAAAGAAAAGGTTAAAATGTGTAAAAGATGTCAAAATATATCAATAACAAACGAATTGTTTATAAAAATGTATCATATCGTATAGAGATTGATTGAATGTAAATAATCATAGATTGATTGCACAGAAACTGTATCAAATAAACGTTTCATAGAGGGTACATTATAAAATCTGTCGCGTATTTGTTTGAAATCAGCGCATTCAATCATAAAATGTTTGACTGTAAATGGTTGATCACATGCATGACAGTAACGATGGTCTTCTTTCTGTAATATATAACTATGTGTGATGTAGGTATTGTCTATGCGTAGTCGCGAGAGGACAACTTCCTCTCTGCGGTCTGCACTACCTTTTGCACATGAACATATAGCTTCATTAGGTTGAATTGAAAACAACTTATTTTTCATTTCTTCAGACCACTTCTTTTGCAAAATCGTTTTAATAAAATTCGCTATTCAAGGTTTGAAATCAAAATAAGGCAGTTTGATTTCTTTCGTATTGAGGTTAAGTGCTGCCTTAGCAGCTGTATCCACTTTTTCATTTCCATTAATTCCGACATGGCCGGGAATCCAAATCAAGATCAGTTGACAGAAAACTAAGATTCTGTTAATACAAAGGGCAATATTTTGTACGAGATTGTTGTTAAAGTTCCGGTTTTTAATACTTTGTAGTAGTGACAAAAAGTCGGAGCAGATACTACCTTTTTTCATTAGCGTCCCTGCCGATGTCAACATTGACTGTCGTCGAGTAAAAGTGCTCATTCAAGTTAATATACACTGCACTTGTAAAACATACCTTAAATTTCATGTATACATGAAATTTGATTCTTATCTTGACTGAATATAAATAAAATTTGATTCTTATCTTGACTGAATATTAATGAAATTTGATTCTTATCTTGACTGAATATAAATGAAATTTGATTCTTATCTTAACTAAATATATATGAAATTTGATTCTTATCTTAGCTCAGTCATTCGACGGTATTTATGCTATTACGCATTTGTGTAATGTTTTAGTGATTGGTTGTAGGTTATATATTTGAACATAGAATGAAAACCTCGAAAACCTTTAGAAATTTGGGAAGATTACCTTTTGAAACACATTTGGGCGAATTCAATTTCAAAGTCGGTTTTACGGAACCCACGATATAAGTCTCAAAATGAGATGAAAAATCTATAGGTTTTACAAACATCATTTTCTTTATTAATACAAAGCCAGTGGTAGAAGTATTACTATTTATAATATTATTTCCTATGTATGTTTTAAGAATTCAATAATTCCTCAATCATGAAATCTTCGCCATTGGTGGTTGTATTTATATTAACTCAATACTGAGCTAGCCCCAATTACTAGGACTGTATGCAAATAAGCATATTTATTGGGTTTCTGTATCTAAGTAAGTCACTGAAAATATTGGATGCAAATACCAGAGATAAGCTATTAAAACAAACACCGAAAATAACTGATTTTATATAGACTGGATGCAATAAGCATGTTAGTATAATTTCTTCGGCTAAAAAAGTGACTTTTACAAAGAAAAACAAATCCTATAACATAGACTGGATGCAATAATAATGTTAGTAGGATTTTGTTAGCTAAATAAGTAACTTAAACAAAGAAAAGAAAATCCTATTACATAGACTGGATGCAAATAAGCATGTTAGTAGGATTTCTTTAGATAAATAAGTAACTTAAACAAAGACAAACAAATCCTATAACATAGACTGGATGCAAATAATCATGTTAGTAGGATTTCTTTAGATAAATAAGTAACTTAAGCAAAGAAAAACAAATCCTATAACATAGACTGGGTGCAATAATAATGTTAGTAGGATTTTGTTAGCTAAATAAGTAACTTAAACAAAGAAAAGAAAATCCTATTACATAGACTGGATGCAAATAAGCATGTTAGTAGGATTTCTTTAGATAAATAAGTAACTTAAACAAAGAAAAACAAATCCTATAACATAGACTGGATGCAATAAGCATGTTAGTAGGATTTTGTTAGCTAAATAAATAACTTAAACAAAGAAAAACAAATCCTGTTACATAGACTGGATGCAAATAAGCATGTTAAAAAGATTTCAATAACAAACTAAGTAATAATAAGTCAAAGAAAAAACACAAATTAAGATAAACAAATCCTATAACATAGACTGGATGCAAAAAGCATGTTAGTAGGATTTTGTTAGCTAAGTAAATAACTTAAACAAAGAAAAACGAATCCTATTACATAGACTGGATGCAAATAAGCATGTTAAACAGATTTCAATAACAAAATAAGTACTAATAAATCAAAGAAAAAACACAAATTAAGATAAACAAATCCTATAACATAGACTGGATGCAAATAAGCATGTTAGTAGGATTTCTAGCTAAATAAGTAACTTAAACAAAGAAAAACAAATCCTATTACACAGACTGGATGCAAATAAGCATGTTAGTAGGATTTCTTTAGATAAATAAGGAACTTAAACAAAGAAAAACAAATCCTATTACATAGACTGGATGCAAATAAGCATGTTAAACAGAATTCAATAACAAAATAAGTACTAATAAATCAAAGAAAAAACACAAATTAAGATAAACAAATCCTATAACATAGACTGGATGCAAAAAGCATGTTAGTAGGATTTTGTTAGCTAAGTAAATAACTTTAACAAAGAAAAACGAATCCTATTACATAGACTGGATGCAAATAAGCATGTTAAAAAGATTTCAATAACAAAATAAGTACTAATAAATCAAAGAATTTTTTTTTTAAGATAAACAAATCCTATAACATAGACTGGATGCAAATAAGCATGTTAGAAGGATTTCTTTAGCTAAATAAGTAACTTAAACAAAGAAAAACAAATCCTATTACACAGACTGGATGCAAATAAGCATGTTAGTAGGATTTTGTTAGCTAAATAAATAACTTAAACAAAGAAAAACAAATCCTATTACATAGACTGGATGCAAGTAAGCATGTTAAAAAGATTTCAATAACAACATAAGTACTAATAAATCAAAGAAAAAACACAAATTAAGATAAACAAATCCTATAACATAGACTAGATTATTGCCATTCATGATCCAACGAGTGTTAAATGCCATAGTCTCAGTTTCTAATGGGTATCACTAAACGAGCCTTTTTTTCGAACCAATTGTGGAATTTTTTTAATTATTTTACAAATTAAAAGGAATTAACATAACAATGTATTTGAAAATTACAATAAAAATATATATATAATATATAGGCCATCGTTGCATTATATTTTCAGTTACCGGAAGTTTCCATGATGCTTTGAAGTTTTTGAACCCGTCCTGTTAGTTAAGTGTGTCTACTGAAAATGCAAGAAATAACCTTTTACCGTGATAAACATCGGTCATGTTTCATCGAGTTAGGATTGATTTTTAAATATTATTCACATAGTAACTTTGATGTGCCGCGGATGTGTAAACAAAAGTAATAAAAAATCTGAATCTGATTACTCATTATATATATCGGTCACACTATAACCGTTATTCATTATAAAGTGAAGGATTATCTCTTTAACGAACTAAAGCTACCTACATTGGTATCACAATAAAGGTGACTTGATATCACAAAACTTCGTATTAAACTAAGGCATTCCGTTCTTTCTAACTGATTTATTTACGTGGAAATCGGACCATAAACCAATTTTAATAGCAGCCAAAGATAAAGAACCTGAACCCGGGTGAGAATCGTGTCGGGTGAGAAATAAAAAATTAAAACAAAACAAAAAACAAAAAAACTGAAACCCTTCCAACTCCCAACCAAAAATAACCTGAATCCCATCCGCCTTCCAACCCTAACCCAACCAAAAAGAATCAGAACTCCCTCCCCCTCCCAACCCTAACCCAACCAAAAAGAGTCAGAACCCCCTCCCCCTCNCACCCCCTCCTCCTTCCCCCTTCCAACCTTAACCAAACCAAAACGAACCTGAATCCCCTCCCTTCCATTCCCTTCCCGACAACCACCCCACACCACCTCTTTCCCCACCTCAACCTGTGTATGGCACATTTTGTGAATATATATTGCTGTTTTGTATCAGTACGTGCGTTACCATCAGCCATGTACCGGATTATATATAATTAGCTGACGCTGTACCGTTCCCTTAGTACAAAAACCAAATATTTACATTTTTAAAAGTATACTGGTATTAAGAACAATATAACAACACTCAGCGATATGTATATACATGTACAGATATCTGAACAACTATTATCTCAATTTACAAGTTAAGATCTAAAAAAGAATAAAGAATAAGTGAGATCAACACCTAGGAATAGACTATGAAACGTAGGAAATCTAATGGAGTCACACATTTAGGACCACCTAATCCCTTAAAGCCGAAATTTGCAGTAATTATTATTTTATTTTTGCAGAAATTTACTTATTTAACAACCATTATGAAACAAGTTATTTTGTTAGCTTATTTTTGTCGGCCTGGATGGATGCAAGCAGGGGACTTTTAATAAACATCGCAAACACACACTTTTTCAAAAAATTGTTTTACACATGTGTTGGAGAAAAGTTGTAAATCATTCATTTAAAACGAAACACAATTTTATAAAATGTAAGAAATTAAAGTCAGGTCATCACTTTCCGTACTCTAAAATCACAGAGAAATGCTTTTGAAATTCTTTTGAAGTAATTTGTTGTTGATTACAGTCACTTGCTATCAATGAGAATGTATTACATTACCATAACAACAACGTAAGCTTGAAAAAAGCTACCGGCTGAAACACGTGCTAGCACCATCGTACGTACTGTTGATATCGAGATAATAATTACTGTACCGGATATTTTTCTCTTTAACACTGTTTAGGAATCAATTTATTTATTTTATTCATATTACATGATATTAATGATATAATAATAAATATTTAATTAACGTGTCACACATTTAAATACATGCATGTACCATCAAATACTTTTTTACAGTGTTTAAAAACTATGCATAAGAAATGTCCGGCCAGTGTTGACCTATGAGAAATGTCCGGCCAGTGTTGACCTATGAGACACCATTATCACAATATTACGTAATACAATGTATATATCACAATTATATACTACATAACATTTAAACTATTACATTTTATAAAAACAATACCTGAAACCAATAATAACTGAACAAGAGCATACTGTACGCATGCGTGTATATTTCCGGACTTCAGACGGGTGATTCGTGTATTCCGGTTTAAGATTTAGACACACACCTTGGTCGAATTCCAAGGGTCAAAATGATGACAAGCGTGACGAGAAAGGGAGCTGTACTAGTCGCTTAAACAAAGACTAAAACGTAAGTACACAGATAAAGAAGAACTCCTGGTACATATGTACTAAGCATATGTAAAAGCTAAATAACTTTATTTCTTTGTATGTCTTTATTTATTTCAGGAAGTATTATAAATAGAGTTGTATGACATCATAATGATAGATATATGTGAAACGAAAATACATCATAACGAATTCATTTCCGCTCGAAAAAATTAATAATTTGCTGAAATATCAAATTTTTCATCCGTTTGGATGATATCTGATATTCCTCAACAAGAGATACAGTGTACATCTCTATATTCGTGATGATTTTACCAGTTATGATACCCTTCGTTGTTAGGGGATATGAAAATGGCGTCCAACGTTCCGTCCCTTCGACCGTCCGCCCGTGAGGCTGGTTAGGAATACTTATTTAGTCATATCTGAGTAACTATGCTACATAGATTATACCTGCATCAATGATGCAACAGGTGATTCTACCTTGAGTGCATGTGCCGCGCACTGAATTTGACCTACATTTATATACGCTTTATGGACTTGGTTTGGAATGCTGAATGGGGTTAAGGATAATGGTTTGGCTCATGTATGAGTAACTAAAAGTGCTACATGGATTGTAGTTCTACCCATACATTTAAAGCTCCAATGGTTTGGTTAGGATGAATTAGTTGCATTTATATTCTGGGTAATTATTTAAAAGTGCTACATTGATTATACTGATTACTGAGTAGTTTGCTCACTCACTCGCCATTCACCAAGACGGCCGGGATTCATTTCTCCGATCGGACAACGAAAAGGTAGTGGGTCACCTGCCCTACCACGTGGTTTTCTCTTGATCCTCCGGCTTCCGCACGCTTCCAGGGGCAACAAGAGCAATTAAAACAAATTGGGAAAAGTTGTTTTATATTGTTGTAAAATAAAGAAACTATGTATTTATAAATCAATATACACGTAGTTGTTCAAGTTATTATTAACTGAATGTGAATGCTATAAGTTATAGGTTAACCTATCGTGCCTGGAGGGTTAGACAACCAAAATAATCACGACAAGTGTTAGAGATTTCTCTTTTACACCCTCTAGGTATGCGTAGGGGATAATTATTTTTCTCCCATCCTATTATTTCAGTCAGAGCTCCACCGACAGTAGGCTGCCATGTTTGTAAACAAAAACACATGTGGGGTATGCATATCGTCATTCACTTTTGATGACGTAACAATTACCGATGACGCATTTTAATGACGTCACAATTGAACACGTGCTAATCAGCACGAGGCTATCTCCCCCTAGGGGGTGACAAGCTTTTCTTTCCCGGCTAAAAAGGGAGACACGCCTGTGAAGGGTGTGGTAATATATATCGTCCTTTTCCTACTCATTTAAACATTATAAATAACATGATTAGACTGGTATAAAGTTAAGAGCCATCTTTCCTGTATCACTGTTATACCTTCTCCGCTGATGGTTACATGCAAGATGTATAAAGTTAAGAGCCGTGTACCACTGAAACACTGTAACACTGTAACACCGTCTCCACTGACGGTTACATGTAAGATGAAATCAAGGTTATTAAGAATCGATGACACATGGTTCAGGCTCTGACAATTGTCTCCGTCTCGGTCAAACTGATTTTCAAAAAACGGTGTATGTGTGGTGTTTGGGTTCTCTTACAGAAGACGACGAGTACCAAATGCCTTGATTTCAGTGGGTTATTTATTTCCCTGTAACAATATTTAACACACATGAGATAATATACAGAAACGAACTCGCCTAACAATACATTTATCAAATGGACAATTTACATTGAAACGCACGATATTTTTTAAAAGCTATAAAGTGATAAAACAATTATTTAAAGAAGTAGCCTAGAAAACTACACATGAATATGGTTCACATAACACTGGATATAACATTTAGTAACTTACAACGAAGTAAAATATCGGTGTTAAATAAGGAAAGTATACGTATTCACCTTGCCAAATAACCACACTCATAAGTACATTTGAGAAATTATAGCAATTCCAAATAAATTTATTATCTATTAAGTTTAACAATAGCTTAGTTGACTTATAGCTTACTCTGTATGTGGTACCCCCGGGAATCCACTAGTATAATCATGTTGAAAAGTTCTGTACGTATATCTCTCTATATTCTGTAATGTATATATATATGGCGATGTTGCCTCTACGAGGAGCAGATAGGAAGTGACTAGAAAAGAAAGGATAGAGAAGCAAGCGAAGAAAACATAAACGCAGGAAATATCATGCAATGCGACAAGTGTCAGAGATCAGTTTGTCACTGGTCAAACAGGTATACAATAGCATACACAATTACGTCACACTCACATACAGTCCAATCAAAACGAAAGTAACACACGAGAATAGGCGACTGCGGATGCGGAGCGCGGATTACTGATTAAAATCGACGACACAATATTATACAAAGTAATACTGATTAGACTCAATATATTTTAACTGAATCTTAGGATTATAAAGAATTTAAATTAATTGACAAATGTAACAGGGTGCCACATATGTATGTAGTTAAGATTTTAAAATCATCTCTTTCTGTTCAAGGTAATATCGTAGCAGTGACGCCCCAGTCAGTATGGCGGAAGGTGGACCACGTCATCAACCGTCGTCGATAGAAGGAGAAAGACGCCAGTCCCTGGACTCCCAGCTACTGGAATGTCCCATCTGTCTGGAGCAGCTGAGACATCCCAAGTCCCTGCCCTGTCTGCATTTGTTCTGCCAGGAATGCCTGGGAAGTTACATCACAAAAGAATTGTCAGGTAAGACGGTGTCAGCGTCTTCTTTCTCCTGTCCTGTTTGCCGGAAGGTCACTGAGCCTGTGAGCCAATCAGAAGCTAAGGAAACCTGGGCCGAACAGTTCCCAACCAATCATTTGGCTGTAGAAATGATCAAACTGTCGCAGAAGACAAGTGAGCCAACAGCATGCAGACCTTGCGCAAAGAAAGGAAAAATGAATGTGCCAGTGAAATTCTGGTGCGAACAGTACAAAACTTTCTTCTGTGCAGCTTGCAAAGTAGACCACCATGACATGTTTCATGAAGAATGCGAACCGAAGGACATCGCGGACGTAAACATGTCAGCCAAAATGCGTCGAGAGGTCTCGCCTAACGATTGTGGAAAGCATAATGAGAAAATAGAGTATTACTGCGAGGACCACCAGCTCCTTGGATGTAGCAAATGCATCATCGTCGACCACCGGAAGTGTGAAGTGGTGATGTCGATAGAAGAGTCGCGGGACAAACTCAGAAACAGCTCCAAGATCGATGATCTAATGGACCTGCTTCATGAATGCACAGAAGCCATGGAGACGCTGATTAAAGATATTGGCGAACAACTTCAGTCCATTTCCTATGATCAAGACACTGCACTGAAAAGTTTAACAGATCTTCGCCAAAACATTGATCGGAGGTTCGATACGCTACAGAAAGAGCTGACGGACAAACTGATACACACTTTAAGGACGAAAAGGCAAATCTGGAATTATCGAGACAGCAATGTGAACGGCTGATGTTCGCTATGCAAAACACTTTGACGTCATCCGAAGAAGCAACAATGACAGACGACACGGTAGGGACGATTTGTCTGTTTCAGAGAGGGCGAGCTGAGGTCGCATCCTGTAAGGGACTGATACAGGAACTGGAGAAATCGTCAGTATCCACCACCCTGAGACATGAGTATGACACACAAACTTTCGACACAAACACTGATCTTACCATGGGGAAGATAGTTGTTGATAAACAACAGAGAAATCCGCCTACAACTACCTTGAGTGTGCCATTGTCTGAAAGACAACTGAGGATAATGCGAAAGTTCAATATCAAACTTCCTTCTGATAAATCAGACAGCTTTTCCTGTGGGATTGTATACCTACATGGTGGCTTCATTGTCTTAGGGGACTGGGCGAACAAAAATATCAAGCTATTTACAGAAAACGGAGACTTCCTATGTAACATCAGTATGGATGGGACGCCTGTAGATCTATGTCAAGTTGACGACAACACAGTAGCAGTGATGCTGCGGGAGGACACCATATGTATAGTCAGTGTGGAGGACTTAAAGTTGACCCTTACATCAACAATTAAGTTGTCAATGACGACTAAAGGATGCTATGGTATAACATACCGGAATAACAGGTTTGTCGTCGGCACAGATACATCACTTTATAGCGTATCAAGAAAATATGGGATAACATCACAACTTCACACATTAAAAACACCGTGTTTGCACCTCGCTAGCGATCATCATAGTGGACACGTCTTTGCCAGTCTCCATACAAAAAATCCTAACGAATCTGCCGTGACTAGACTTTCAGACGGCTCGAGCACGGACGTAATGAAACCAGGGGTTTTGAAACTTACCACAGGAATAGACGTAGACATGGAACACAACGTGTACGTGTGTGGCTATAGTTCTGACAACGTCATACAGATGTCTGGGGACGGGACACACGTCAGAGAACTACTGACGTCATCAGATGGAATACAAAAGCCAAGGGGGATTTCTGTATGTGGTGACAGAGTAGTGATCACAAACGGATCGTCAGATCATGATCATCGGAACACTGTACACGTGTTCCGGCTTGTTTAAGTCATACACGTGTACCGACATACCTCTCTTTATGACGAAGTTGCCGGCGGTATAAGTCGTACTGAAATTAGAATTGCTTTTAAAAGAAGTGACAAATATAGAAAACACGTTGTGAAGAAATTATAAGTAGACCAGAAAACAATACCATGCCACAACACTTACAACAATTACACTGAAGGGAAAATCGGAACGTACACGTTAAGTCGGTTTCTCTTCAAAAGAACAACAGTAACCGGACAGAAACAAAAACAACAGGAAAACAGTATGATACACTATAAGCAAGGCGAATGGGAGTTTGACGAAGGGTAAATGTTTCTACCTGTTACCACCATCGTGAGTCAAGAGTCGCCCACAATATAGGCCGCGGTAGATGTATAAACTTAATGGTTGCAGACACCGAAACTTTCAGTTAAAATCAGATCAATGGCGACGATCTTGGTTTTTCCTCTACTGTGACGGAAGGACAGATGAATTTTAATCCCAGGGGCGATCTTCACGATGTCTAACCAGAGAGTCACACATTCAAGAATCTCATCCAAAAGGTTGGGTTGTATCTTGTCTACCCTCACCGTATGAGTTGATCCACTTTCTTCTGTCGTTTAAATACTTTGTTTGAAAACCAAATAACCAAACCAACATAGTGATTGGACTTTTAAACGACCGGATTGCTGTAGTAAAAGCGTAAAAAGGACTTTCGGTTCGTAACAAAATTGATACCAACAACAAAATTACGATTAGTTATGACTCACTATAAAGGCTTGTCTGTATACCAACTACGTTCTACATCACTGGTTGGTTTACCGTCGTGTCTCAGTCTCACTATTAGAGTTTGTCTGCATACAATGTATCGTCTACATCACTGAGTTGTTCAATGTCGTGTCTCACTATAAGGACTTCTCTGTGTATAAGGTATAGTCTACATCACTGGGTGGTTAAGTGTCGTGTCTCACTATAAGGGGTGTCTGTTTACATGGTATGGTCTACATCACTGGGTGGTTTAGTGTCGTGTCTCACTATAAGGGGTGTCTGTTTACAAGGTATAGTCTACATCACTGGGTGGTTAAGCGTCGTGTCTAACTATAAGGTATTGTCTGTATACCAGGTACGGTCTACATCACTGGGTGGTTTAGTGTCGTGTCTCACTATAAGGGATTGTCTGTATACATGGTATGTTCTACATCTACAAAAATGCAAGGAACTGTCCACTTCACTGGGTGATTTAGTTTCGTGTGGTGTTGTGTTACTCTGTGCTGTAGTGTTACCCTGTGCTGTAGTGTTACCCTGTAGTTTAGTGTTACCCTGTGGTTTAGTGTTAGCCTGTAGTTTAGTATTTCTTGCTACCCAGCGATGTTGTGTTATCCCTCGGTTTTATGTTACCCTGTGTTTTAGTGTTACTCCGCGGTTTAGTGTAACCTGTGGTTAAGTCTTACCCTATGGTTGAGAGTAAACCATGTTGTTTAGTGTTACCCTGTGGTTTAATGTTACCCTGTGGTAAAGTGTTACTCTGTTAAGTGTACGCCTGTGGTTTAATGTTACCACGTTGTTTACTGTTACCCTGTGGTGTTGTGATACCCCTCGGTCTAGTGTTAACCTGTGGTATTGTGTTACCCTACGGTCTAGTGTTAACCTGTGGTATAGTGTTACCCTAAGGTCTAGTATTAATCTGTGGTATAGTGTTACCCTAAGGTCTAGTGTTAACCTGTGGTATTGTGTAACCCTACGGTCTAGTGTTAACCTGTGGTATAGTGTTACCCTAAGTTCTAGTGTTAACCTGTGGTATAGTGTTACCCTAAGGTCTAGTGTTAACCTGTGGTATAGTGTTACCCTACGGTCTAGTGTTTACCTGTGGTATGGTGTTACCCTAAGGTCTAGTGTTAACCTGTGGTATTGTGTTACCCTAAGGTCTAGTGTTAACCTTTGGTATAGTGTTACCCTAAGGTCTAGTGTTAACCTGTGGTATAGTGTTACCCTAAGGTCTAGTGTTAACCTGTGGTATTGTGTTACCCTAAGGTCTAGTGTTAACCTGTGGTATAGTGTTACCCTACGGTCTAGTGTTAACCTGTGGTATTGTGTTACCCTAAGGTCTAGTGTAACTTTTCACCAGTTATCAGGTATTGATGTAACTTTGATATAATAAAATAAATGACAAATATACTGTCATATAAAAAAATGAGTGACATATATACTTTCATGCAAGTAAATAAATAAATGACATTCTTTGATGTAATAAAAAGTGACTATTATACTATCTTGTAATAGAATGAGTGACTTATATGCTTTGATGTCATAAAATAGGTGACTAATATACTTTCTTGTAACAAAATAAGTGACTTATATACTTTGATGTCATTAGATAAGTGATTGACATACTTTGGTGTAATTAGATAAGTGATTGACATACTTTGGTGTAATTAGATAAGTGACTTATATACTTTGATGTAATATAATAAGTGATTGACATACTTTGATGTAATTAGATAGGTGACTAGTATACTTTGATGAAATAAAGTAAGCGACTTATATACTTTAATGTAATATTATTAGTGATTGACATCCTTTGATGTAATAAAGTAAGTTACGAATATACTTAGATGTAATATTATACGTGACTAATATATGTTTTGATGTAATATAATAAATGACATATACTTTGATGTGATAAAATAAGCGACTATATACTTTTGTATTATATAATAAGTGATAGACATACTTTGATGTAATACAATAAGTGATTGACATACGTTGATGTAATAAAGTAAGTGACTGATATAAATTTGGTGTAATGAAACAAGTGACAAATATACTTGGATGAAATAAAATAGATGACTTATATACATTGATGTTATATAATAAGCCATTAAATATTTTGTTGATACACATTGATGCTTTAAAAAGAGACTGAGATATTGGGAAGTCACTGATAAACGTTGATGCTATAAGGAGATAAGTGACTGATATACTTTGATGCTATTTTTCATTCTAATAAAGTGCTTGACTACTTTAAAATATTAACTGAACATCTTGTTTATACGGCACTTACCACCGCACGGCTGGTTTAATGGCTAACCTATGTATCATGGTGTTGAATCACAATAAACAGACCGTGTACACATGATTACATTAGCACCCCGGCCTATGTCAACATTGACTATCGTCGAGTCAAAAGTGCTCATCCAGCTTAATATACACTGCACTTGTAAAACATACCTTACATTTCATGCGTAAGTGAAATTTGATTCTTATCTTAACTCAGTCATTCGACGGTGTTTATGCTTTTACGTATTTGTATAATGTTTTAGTGATTTACGTTATATATTTGAACATGGTATGAAAACATCGAAAACCTTTTGAAAATTAGGAAGATTACCTTTTGAAATACATTTTGGTGAATTCAAATTACAAAGTCGGTTTTACGGAGCCCACGATTAAAGTCTCAAAATGTGATGGAAAATCAATATAAGGCCAGTTGTAGAAATATTGCTATTTGGAATATCATTTCATATACATGTTTGTAGAATTCAGCAATTCCGCCATCATGACATTTTTGCCATTTGTGGTTGTTTTTAAATTAATTGAATGGAAATATTAAACGAATTTCGAAAATGATAGCTCCTATAACTTTGGCTGTATACAAATAAGTATGTCTATTGTGTGTCTGTAATAAAGTAAGTAACTAAAAAACAGAAAGAAGTCCCTATAACATATATTGGATGCAAATAAGCGTGTGAATATGATTTCGGAAATCAAATAAACAATTAAAACAAAAAAGAACAGAAAAAACCCTCATAATACATAGATTGGATGCAAATAAGCATGTTGGTAGGATTTCTTTAGCTTGATAAGTAACTTTTAAAAAAAATAAAAAAAATCCTATAACATAGATTGGATGCAAATAAGCATGTTGGTAGGATTTCTTTAGCTTGATGGTAACTTTAAAAAAAAATATAAAAAAAATCCTATAACATAGATTGGATGCAAATAAGCATGTTGGTAGGATTTCAATCACTAAAGAAGTACTTCAAAAAACAAAGAACAACACAAATAATATCCTCAATGAGGCAACAACTACAAATCGAAAGAAATGTTTAAGTATGGATTACCACAAACAATGTTGTAAACAGGGCCCCAAATCTCTAAATACCACACAAAATATTCGTGCTTACACGTCTCATTCAGTAGAAATGATTTCGACTCGTTAGGTCTCAAGATAATGGACGTTTGATGGGAGTGCATATGTTAAACTCATATCTCTTCAATCAAATGTATTTTCAAAACATTTAAATATTTGTGAAAGTGAAAAGATTTGGAAAGAATTGTCATGCATACTGATTGTGAAAATATGAATTTGCCCTGTGAATATGCTGTAAGATTTTTCAAATGACAATATTTCTATGTTTGGATAGTATATAAATGTGATGCATTCTACCATGTATGTCTTACAGACACTAACCAAGAATTTCCTAATTCAAATATAGAAACTTACGCGATTTACAAAGGCAGTTGTAGAAAATGAACCCAAAGTGAAAAGTAACCATCATGCTTAACGGCAAAAACAGCACATTATTTCCTATTTAACAAGACAACGAGTGTAAGGCATATCTATGAAAACAATTTTTCATCTTTTATTATTTAGACGATTAGAATAATGCTTGTACATGTATTTGTGCGCCATCTTGAATGTTATACACAAAAATCCGATATATTGGTTCAATACCATGTAAAGAAGGTTTACTTTTTTCTTACCACAAAAACACAACACTGTACCATCTGTTACATATATTCCTGGTATCCTCTTGTAATTACATCATATTGTCATGACGTTGTCGTTTGTAATGGCATCATATTGTCATGGCATCGTCGTTATCAGACATCGCCTCTTTGTCGTCAGCAATGATCGGAGGTACGAGACCTGCTGCTAAGCAATTGTCACTAGCACTAAAACCCCTAGACATCAGTAGCACAACCCGTCTGTTCATAGCATGTGGGGGTAGTCCAAAATGGCGGTACATTGAACGTGAGGGTTTCGGTATGTCCTTGTACCATTTTGCCTTTGTTGGAAGATGGTGCGAGAAGAAACGGCCACAGAATGGTCGGTTATCCTTCTCTGCTGGGATGCCCTTAATTTCTCGAGGAGTCGTTGTAAACCCTACTGGCGTGTGGACATGACTTTGTACCATCCTTAATTTCTTGATACGAGTACTTGTCTGTACACTAGGATGAAAGTCGGCCATACTTGGAAGTTTCCGCTGAACTTTCCTCAGCTCCTGACTCACTCGTTCTTTTTGTCTCTTGTAAAATACTTCGGCTTGGTGCTTATATTTGGTCAGAACTTTCTCCTGCACCATAAGTCGTTTGTCTAGCAAAGCATTGACCACCCGAGTCTTTTCGATGGCGTCCGCGTCCAACTTGTTATAAATGTCCGGCACACAAGCATTGTTTACCGGCGGTGCTTCCCTCTTCGCGTGAACGTTCAGCTCATCTAGAAAAGCGTCCTTTGTCATGACGCAATATGGGGTCACGTAACACAATTACATATCGAATATAGAATCAGATGAAAAGACATATGATTAAAAAATCCCCGTAATCAGACAATGGCTGCCTCATCTCCAGTCCAACACGTATATCCCTTTTCCAAACGAACCGAACAATCACGAATGTAACTGGTTCGTTATTCCTCACTGAACGGATATAAACACTTCAAGCTGTCGTCCTAACATAGGATTTTGGCAAACACATCTTTTAAATAATTGATATCCACATTCCTTTTATCCGCATGGCGTGTAATTATCTGTGTGTTTTAAGTGAGTAACGCTAATTTGTCGAATTAATTGATCGGTTATGATAGTTATGAAATTTCTATTAACATCAGCGTGTTAATTACATCCTCTCAGGGTCATAACGGTTGTGACGTTGAGGATCTGGCGAAGCAATGAGGCAATAAATTGAAAGCCCACTCACCCACTACCAATGTTTGCCTGTAACGATCACATATCCAAGGTGACAATCATGCTAATTTACTCGAGGCTCATCTCCACCGGTACTCCTAATGGGCTGGCCTGGTTGATTGTGGATACACACCCTGCATGTTGACATTGTCTAGTGGTCTACTTCACATTTGTACATTGACATGTGATGCACACACGCTTACTCAGAGACAGGTTCATTTACCTGTGGCCTGTTCGTTTATGTGGAACAACTGGGTCCGGTTCGTCCGTTTTTAACTGGTATAAATCCTGGCGGACTTGCAAAAGTTTACGCAGGCCTTGCATTTGTCAAGGCTCGCCTGAAAGCAGCATCATGTTACTAGGTCCAACCTTATTTCATAAACGAACAACTCTGGTACAACTGGTTCAACTGTTAGGATTGCGATAAACGAAAGCGGCCCTGGACTCTTAACTTAGTATTACATCTAGTTTAAAGGTGCCGTAAAGAAAAGTTTTTCACAAATCCATAGTGACTAGTTGTACACTGTATGTGGTATCTTATATGCCCTGTGTGTTGTCACCTCAACGCGCGGATACTGTCTGTGAATGGGTGTGGCTTTGCACGTTCGGCGTGTGACCTCAGTACGTGACCCCTTTGTACATTAGGGAAGGTTATGTATGGAGTGGCCAGTCTACGCTCATCAAAACAAATGGCCGTTCGATGAGATGGTGTATTGAAAGTGAATGGTTAGATCCCACTTAAGATATGATAAATAGGTTTGCCTTAAGGATATATTTGGATATTAATCCCGGTAATGTGGTCATTTATACGGTGAGAGAGCTAATAAGTCGGTCATTTTCTCTCCCAAATACCCATTCTCTTGTCGATGTCTATATTTGTTTCGTATGGGGTACCCTCGGTGTGCTAGTGTTGTGGCGAAACTATCGAGACGGGCTTGGTTTGGAGACCGTTTCATTGTGTTTAACATAGCGGACATTTCACCTGATTCTTATCTTAATATCCTGCTAGTGTTTGATTTGAATGATCGATTTAGCAAATTGTATGAATCTGACATGTGAAGGTAAAATTAAGCTATTTTAGACATGCTTGTGAATATGTCATGAAATATTCTAAAAGAAAATATTGTATGCAACCATGGAATGAAGTAATTACAGAAACAAGATATGTTTCATCCTAGCAACATATAAACAATTTATATTTCATATTTCCAATTCTCATTACAGTCTACCCCGCGTGCTTGGGCGGAGACACTTTTGATCATGTAAAATTGATATCAATTAAATTTCAACACAGCATACCTTAGTCGATTTTGCTTTCAAATTTATAAATGTGTACATATTATAAATGTTCATCTGGTCAAACGATCAGATTTTTGTGTGCAAACCTGATCACATTCTTCACTGCAATTACTTGCCGGACCTTGTGATAAATGTATAAGGATCATAAACAAAAATTAAATCAACACATCTACAACACCTGGGCTAATATGTTATATTTTTCAGATAAGAATACGTATACAAGCACCGAAAATCCTTGAAAACAATTTCATCAGGTCATTTCGTCCATTATCTGTGTTTTCATTTTTAAAACCAGTGAAATTAGAGGTATTTTTTAATCAGAGTCAAACGAGGTCCATGCTAAACTTTTACTATGTGTCTGTGGATATGTCGCTGATTAATGCACATTCTGTATCCGTGCTTCTGTCTTGGTGACAAATAACTTTAGTGACCTGTTTCAGAAAGAGAAAGAAACAGAGTAATGTCCGGTATTATGAAACTAGCAAGTGAATCCCTTTAACTCATTCACCCCTGAAGCCACATTTGAACTCTTCAAATTCAAAGGTTGGAATAGTTCATTATGAAATTTCAGGGGTGAATGACTTAATATAACTATATATATATATATAATTGACAAAACACACATTGCCCTTCAGACCTTCAGTTACGTTTACCTGTAACCAATCTTATTTATCATTGTCTAACATGATACGATCGTTAAAAGTTAACAATATGAAAGAAGATATTAGAAAAATATTTATCATGAGA